TTAGCTGTAGAGGGCAGTGTCACTGGCCCTCATATGTGGGATCCGAACCGGGGCCCTCTGGCATCCCAAGCCAGTTCTTAACCATTGTGCCACTCGGCCGGCCCCCCAACTGATTTTTGTGTGTTGATTTTGTATCCTGTTACCCTGCTGAATTTGTTCATTAGTTATAACACTTTTCTGGTGGAATCTTCAGGCTTTTCTTCATATAACATCAAATCATCTGCCATGTGTAAACAGAAATAACCTTATTTCTTCCTTTCCAATATGGATGTCTTTTATTTCTTTTTCATGCTTAACTACTCTAGCTAGGACTTCCAGTATTATGCTGAACAGAAGTGGCAAAAGCAGGCATCTGTGTCTTGCTCCTGACCTTAGAAGAAAAAATTTCAGTCTTTTGCTATTGAGTATTATATTCGCTGTGAGTTTTTCAAATATGGCCTTTATTATGTTGAGGTAGTTTCCTTCTAGCTCTAGTTTGAGTGTCTTTACATGAAAGGATGTTGAATTTTGTCAAATGCTCGTTCTGCACCAATGGAGATGATGATCATGTGGTTTTCTTCATTTTGTAAATGTGACGTATCATGCTAATCGATTTTCATATGTTGAACCATTCTTCATTCCAAGAATAAATCCCACTTGGTCATAATGTGTAATCCTTTCAATGCAGTTAAATCCTGTTTCCTAGTATTTATTGAGGATATTTACATCAATATTGATCACAAATATTTGTCTGCAGTTTTCTTGTAGTGTCTCTGTCTAGTTTTGGAATCAGGGTAATGATTGCCTCACAGAATGAGTTCAGAAGTGGCCTCTCCTTTTTAATTTTTTGGAAGAGTTTGAGAGGAATTGGTGTTAATTCTTCTTTAAATGTTTAGCAGAATTCACCACTGAAGCCAACTGGTCTTGGGCTTTTTGCGGGGAGGGGGGGGGGTGAGGTGAGGTTTTTGATTACTGATTCAATTTCCTTATCACTTGTAAGACTGTTCAAATTTTCTATTTGTTTATGATTCAATCCTGGCAGGTTGTGAATATAAATGATTTTAACTATGGTCCTTTTGCCTGTATAAGGAGATATCAGAAGCTAGTGTCTTCACTGAAATACAGAGAAAGACTTAAGCATGGTCATAGCAAAAATATGAAAAAAAAAAATACTACTAAAAGTATTTTTGGAAACTAACAGTTGGACCTGATGATAATAGGGAAAAGGAGTCAAGAAGTCAGTGTAGCATTTCTTTATCATTTATACTTTTAAGTGAAAGTATAAAAACAATAATCACACACTGTACAGTTAAGTTAAAAAAGCAAGTTGCAGAAAAATGTATATAATATGAACACATTTGTCTTTACAAAAAAGAAACAAACTGTGATTTAGCTGATTATTTTCTAAATATGTAAATAAATTCATACCTATTTAGCCCTTCGCCCACAGGTGGTTTTTTGTTATCATCTAAATAGACAATAACTTCTTTCCTTCGGATGTGTACAATGTCATCCAAATTTAGATTTGTCAAATTCACCTCTCCTTCAAAATAGATTGAACCATAACCTACAAGACAGAGCAAATAGTTAAAAACTCATCCTGTATAGAGGGCAAATACCTATATTATACTTCTAGTAATTAAATAATCAGGAGCAAGCTGCTTTAAAACATTAGGCAATATTTTTAATCATCCAGCAAAATACCTTGAATGAGTTATTTCATCCATAATATGTATCAGAGGGTGACATTAAATACATTATCATCTGGTTAAACATCTATATTTTTATAGCACTTGTGTAGTACTCAAAAGAGTCTTCTTAAATCTCTTCCCAAATATCTGCACTGCTCCTATATAAACAACCCATAGCACCGAGCCTGCAATATAGGTTAAAATACCTGAGCCTTTTTTTCAATACAATACAGGAAGATGAGATTTTTTTCCCCCAAGAAAATTATATCTGTAATAACTTAATATGAAGTTGAACCTAAGTATTACCCATCTTTTGTCAACTATTCAATTTTCTCACTTAGTATTTCTTGCTGTTTACAGTGTTTTCTTTCATTGTAGAAAATTGCAATGAGCCAAATAGTTACCAAAGAATGTTATTAAGCTCTAGTCTTGCTTTTTAAACTTGTTTTGTTACTATTTTTGTGTTGTGTTACTTGTTTTGTCTGCTGTTCAGGCCAAGGTGGGTCCAAATGTAGGGAAAAAAATGAATTTACCTATCAAGAGCTTCCCTTACTTAATTACAAAAATAAGTTGCATATCTCTGGCTTATTACTAACTTCTAAAGTCATACTCACCTTTACGACCAATAGTGAAGTCAGAGACAATACACTCTCCTTTTTCATTGGTAATTTTAGCAAGGTCATCCATAGATGGAATAGTATAGTAACCAACCTTAGTGAGAACAATGCCTATGACAAAAAAACCAGAAAATATATTAATTGTGATTGTCCTTCGGTAGAGGAATTTTCAATAATATTTATTTAACTCTCCTTTTTAAAACTTTTCTACAAAATGAGTAATTTTAAAAATACCTATATAATCAGTAACTAAATTATTATATAAAGAGAAAATATTGGGTTGTCGGAAAAGTCATGATGCATTTTTGAAAAACAGAAAAAATACATCATGACTTTTCTGAGAACCCAATATATAGGCATAAAGCAATTTTCCAAACTTGTTTTCTAAGAAACACTACTCCTAGGAAAACCTTTTTTTTTAAGCTTCGTGGTCAAGTAAGTTTGGGGAACATGCACATAACAGTGTTATTACAGGCTCTGAAAACTCACAAAATAATGAAGTTTATTTAACTTTACTTAATCCAGTGTTTCCTGAACTTAATTAATCACAGACCTTCTTTTCACTTGACACCCATTAATATGCTACACCATGAAAGGCATTCCATAAACTATATCCTAGGAAAAGTTTACTTAATCCATTTTTTTATTTTATTTTACACAATGAAGATACCAAAACATAGGGTGGAAAGAAAATGCCTTGGTTTACATAGTAATTCAGTGGTATAGGTGGAGCTAAAACTCAAAACCCAGTACTTTTTATTCTATAGCCTATTGTCTTCCATAAACCTCTTGTATCTATCAAATTTATACCTCAAAATCGAGAGCTAAAATCAAGATGAAAGATCCTACGTGAGAAAATCCCATAAACAAATGTAAACTTAAAAGGCCATATAATTAGTGTTATTTTTTTAAAGTATCAACTAGGTAGATTTCTGAAGAAATCAAAGAAAATAGAACACTGGTATGCTTGTTCTAATCACTCCTTGTTCCATTTATGCGTAGAGATCAGGCTAACTTAACTCTCTGAAAAGAAAAAAAAGGAAGGCCAATCTCAGATTCAATACCAGCCTTCAGCAATGTCCACTTATACATTTAACTTGTTTCTCTACTGGCAAGGTTTAGAGGGCTGTTAGTGTCCTTGGGAATGAAATTTTAAATTGGAAAGTGGCAAGCAAGGTGAATGAAAAAACTAGAAACAATAAAAAACCTAGACTGGATATTTGAAAACAAGATGTAGTATCATAATGAATTCATGTAGATAAACACACACAAGTATATATACTTGAGATTCTTAATGTGAATGTATAAAGTTATTTCCTTAAGGCACCAAGTAACCAGAAGATATATATGAAGGCAATAAGATAATTAGATATAAAAAATTTTATGGACACTTCAAGAATAACTGTACAATGACCCAAATGTTTGCTAACAGAGACTGGATTAACAAAATGTGGCATATTTATTTAATAAAGAATACTACTGGGCAACAGAAATGAAGCATTGATATATACATCATAGATGCACTCTCATAAAAATTACAGAGTCAAAAAAAAAAGACTATGTATAGAGCGGCTGGTTAGCTCAGGCGATTAGAGTGCAGTGCTCATAACATCAAGGTTGCCGGTTCAATTTCCACATGGGCCATGGAGCTGTGCCCTCCACAGCTATTGGGTTGTCGGAAAAGTCATGACGTATTTTTGCAACGAAAAACAGAAAAAATACGTCATGACTTTTCCAACAACCCAATAGTTTGAAGACAACTACTTGATTTGGAGCTGATGGGTCCTGAAAAAACACAGTCCCCACCCCCCGCCCCCCCAAAAGACTACGTATAGTATGACTTCATTTCAAGAATAGACAAAAGTAATCTATATGACAAAAAAGACTATGATTGGCTTTTGGGTATGTGGACACAAAGAAAACTTTCCAGGGTGAAAGAAATGTTCTATATCTTGATTGTGGTATTAGATATCTGAGTATATACATGCCAAAATTCACTGAAATGAACGCTTAAGATCCATGAACTTCATTTTATGTAAATTGTACCTCAGTTTTTAAAACAAGGGAACGTAATGGCATTTATCAAAACCCAAAAGAGATGCTGTATCAACATAGAAAAAAGGCTAGCTTTAAGTATTCAATCAAAACACTCTAATCTTATACTTTATATTACTTGTTTTATGCATTACTTGGGAAAAAATTAATCATTCATTGTTTGGGATGGTGGGGCACAGAACTGAGGTGATAATAAACAACCATAGCCAACAACTACGATTTGAATGCCTATACATGTTAGGCATTATGGTCTATATATATAAATCTAATTCAAATCTCAAAAATTTATATAATTATCACTATTGCTTTAATTAAAAAACTAATAAGCAATCTATGTAAATTTATAAAGTCAGGAAAAGTCTGAGGATAGTCTCTCTGGCTATAAAATTTGGGATCTTTAAACTATGCCAGGATGCTTTAAATAACATGAATTTTAACTACTCCAACAGTACAAAAAGTATGTGAATTTTAAATCAACCAACGTGTAAGTGAAAAGTGTTTAAATGTTAATTTTTGTAAGATGCAATGAAACACATTTAGAAGTTCACATAGCCAACTTTCATTATGTTGAACGTCTGTGACAAACGAAAAGAGGTTTCAAATAGATTACTCATGTACCACCAATCTTAACCTGACCTGCTGGATGCATATGGTAAGTATTATTTTCTATTTCTTCTCGGTCATCCTGCAGTGACTCCTCATGAAAAGAGGTCTCTTCACTGCTTCCTTCCAGTCCATTTCGCAAGGCAGCACGCATGTTTAAAGCAACAATGGTATCATCCACACTGCTGCTGCTGTTGTGTTTATTTCCAGCACTCTCTGGGGTTTGAGGGATGGGTTTGGCAATAGGGTTAGTATAAAACCGTGACACAAGAGAATCATCATCTCCATCCTGCTGATGATTCTCATCAACAGGTTTGCTGAGGAAACTGAATCTGAAAAGGGAAAATAGAAACATCTTAGCCTCTTATAGGAGCATCTTATTAACAATGATAACAACCAACACTTACTGAGCCTTTACTAAGTGTCTGGCACTGTTCTAGGCAAGGCCACCATTCTGGGTAATTAAATGAACATTAAAAATTCACTTAATACTTATAGTAATCCTGTAACACAAGTTACTATCATTCTCGCTATTTTATAGAAAAGAAAACTGAGACAAAGAAAACAAAGTAACTTGACCAAGATTACACAGCTGGGATTTAACCCAGGAAATACTGCTGTAGATTCCAAGCCTTTAACACATCTATTTTCATGAATAAATGGATCAGAGCATCAAATTTTTAGTTTTAAAAAAGGATGCTCTACTATGTGGGGGGTCAAATAACCAGTGGTAAGTTTCAAATTAAAAAACTGAAAAAAAAAATTTAATATTATAACCAGCAAGGTATTAGAAAATATTTCATTAATGACAAATCAAACCAGAATTTTATCCAAAGAGAAAAAGAAACATGAGTGCAAATATGCACATGCAGGGATTTTTCACTGAGGCATTATTTTGAATATAGGATTATCAAATAATCTAAACGTCCTCCAATTGAGAAAAAGAGGCAAATATATTCATATTGATATGAAAAGGAATTTATAATAAAATAAATGGAAATCAGTTTACAGAATATATGTCATTCATGCATAACCTCTATAATGTATATTTGTAAGAATAATTGTATTTATAAACAAATTTCTAAACTGTAAGAACATACACCAAACTATTAAGAATTAGTGTATATACTTCCACTTCCTCCTTTATACATTTTATATACTTCTGTAGTTATTATTTTTTTTGGTTTGGTTACAATGACTGCATATCACTTCAAATAATTATCACAAAATATCCCTTATTTTAAGGGACTAAGTATCAAATGCAAGCTAACCCTGTCCAAAATGACATACATGGATATCAAAATAGTTTTGTAGAACTGAATCCGAAGAACTCCAATAATTTTAAGGTCTAAAGTACTCAAAAAGCAAAAACATGACTTAATTTCTAGATGCTCCTATGCTGTAATACTTCTACACAACATTCGCCGAACTTCAGAAATTTTCACAGAATGAATAAATTCTAAGCTCAGAATCTTTTCAAAATGAGACTATGGCTCTCTACCAAAAACAACCCAAAACAGAATTCAGTTTACCTCTCTCCATTTTCTGGATAATCAGATGGTGAAGCTAGATCTTCTGAATCACGGTTAACAGGAGAGAAGAGATTGCTATTGCTAAGGTTTTTCAAAACCAACTTCTTAATGCTCTTCCTATAAACAAAGACCAAAAGGGGGTGGGTGGGGAGAGCTCAGGCACACATAGTTACGTCACAGACAACATCTTAAAAACTGGAGTTGAAAACGGCACTCCTGTTCAATTCTTATGTATCTAAAAATGACCTAACAAATTCAATTCACTAACTCTCCCTATAAATAGATAACAAGAACATAAGGTCTCAAATACACTGCACTCTGGTGTTTGGAAGAAAAGCTAAGCACATTTAAAACAAAGTGGGAATTCCTCTTGAAAATATTATTCACGTTTCTCTGAACTGCTGAGCACTTAATCCACTTAGTTCACTCATCACACTGTCTTATATTTCAATTATTTCTCTACATGTCTTTACTCTCTTTAAACATTTTCTTTCTTTTTGTGGCGTGATCAGGATTTATGACTGTATTCCTACCCCTTAGAACTCAGCTGCTGCCCCTGAATAAAAAATAGGTAAATAGATACTTGTTGACTGAATGAGAAAGATTTTAATAAGAGGACAAGAAATAGAAGTAAAAAACCCTGATGTCCAATGATGCAAATGCTCACAAATACCTAAAAAGTGCAGGTGTACAGCAGGTTCACTTAAGGCAAGAATCTCTACAGTACACAAGCTTCAAGTAGAACCATACAGAAGAGACCTTAATCAACCTCGACTTAAATCACTGAATTAACTAATGTGCTCCATTCCCTCTTTAAAAACAAACACAAACGGCAGATCACTCTCCTATGTTTGTTTATTTCTAGTCTCAACTACTGAGTTATATGATAACAAACATCAGTATTTGTTCCAAACCTGTGTATGCTAGTTATACTTTTTATTGTAATGATGTTGTATTTAAAATCAATTAAATAGGCACTTGAAATGAAGAACTGTTATTTCCATGAAAACTAAACTGAGACTTGCCCTTCTACTGCTAGACTAGGTAATGCAGGCTAATTTTCCTAGGGAAGATAATTAAAATAGTTGGAACTCTTTGTAGGCATCAAGAGGCAACAAGTTGTCAAAGTCTCTATCTCTGAAGTTAAAACAAAAAGGAAAACTCACACTGTTTTAAGTTCAGCTTTGACTCATCTCAATAAAGAACTTGCCCTAAAAAAACAAATTGCTAAAGGTCAAAGAAGAAAAATGGCCAATAAACACATGATTGGATGCTCAATATCATTATTCATAAAGGAAATACAAATTAAAAGCATGAGATACCACTTTGCACCCACTAGGATAGCTATTATAAATAAACAAGACAGAAAGTAAGTGCTGACAAGGATATGGAGAAAATAAACCATTGCACATTGCTGGTGGGAATGTAAAATGGTGCAGCTGCTGAGGAAAAGTTTGGAAGTTCCCCAAAAGGTTAAACACAGAATTAACATATGACCATAAACAATTCCAGTCCTAGGTATACACTCAAAAGATTTTGAAACAGGGAGTCAAACAGATACTTGTACAAGGTGTGATAAAAAATATGGTGAATGTTTAAAAAAAAATTAAAGTAAAAGACACATTGCTTATTAATCCCTGCTGTGGCTGCCTCGATGTCCTGAATCGATTCAAAATGTTTTCCTTTCAGGGTCATTTTGACTTTGGGGAAGAGCCAGAAGTCCCATGGTGCCAGATCCGATGAATAAGATGGGTGAGGACACACCGTAATGTTTTTATTTGACAGAAATTGCCATATACCAGAAGCGATGTGTGACATGGAGCGTTGTCATGACAGAGGATGAAGTAAAGACACTCACAGAAGAGGACTTCCAGAACTGCTTCAGAAAGTGGCAAGAATGATGGGACAAATGTATTCAAAGTGATGGGGAGTGTTCTGAGGGGAATTAATAGCAATGTCTTTTATTGTAATTATTTTTTTTAAACATTCACTGTATATTTTGATCACAACTCATATACCAATGTGCATAGTAGCACATTGCTAAAAGGTGGAAACAACCCAAATATCCACCAACCAATGAGTGGATAAATAAAATGTGATATATCCATACAATGGAATATTGTTCACCCTTAAAAAGGAATGAAGATACCCAATAGTCAAGAGGTGGTAGACACCACGACTGATGAATGGGTAAGCAAAATATGGCATATACATATAATGCCATATTATTCAGCCTTAAAAAGGAAAGAAATTCTGCCATGTACCACGACATGGACGAACCTTGGGGACATCATGCTAAGTGAAATATGCCAGTCACAAAAAGACAAATACTGTATGATTCCACCTACATGGGGTACCTATAGTAGTCAAATTCACAGAAACAGAAAGTAGAAAGCTAGGGGGAGGGGGAAAAGGGTAAGTTGTTTGCTTAACGGGTACAGAGTTTCAGATTTACAAGATGAAAATTCTGGAGATCTGTTTCCTAACAATGTGAATATACTTAACACTACTGAATGTACACTTAAAAATAGTTGTTAGGTGAGTGGTATGTTGGTTAAGAGTTGGCTTGGGACGCCAGCTCGGAGCAGCAGGGCCCTGGTTCGGATCCCCATGAGGGCCAGTGATGCTGCACCCTCTACAGCTAAGATGGTGAACAACAGCTCGAGTTGGAGCTGGGCTGCCGTGAGTCGCCGGCAACGGCATAGGCTGCAGTGGAGCTAGCCAGCAGCGGGCATAAAAAAAAAACAATTTTTTTAAAAAAAGGAATGAAGTTCTGAAAAAGGCTACAACATAATGAACCTTAAAAACAATACGCCAAGTAAAATAATCCAGCCCTAAAGAAATATTAACGAAGCCCTTTATATGAGGCAAATTCAAAGACAGAAAGTAATATTGGGGTTAATGGACTAAGGGAAGGAGGAAATAGGGAATTATTGCATAATAGTACAGTTTCTGTTTGGGAAGATGGAAAAGTTCTGGAAATAGTGGTGCTATGATAGTTACACAACATTGTAAAGGCTATTAATATTCAGATACATAAATTTAGGAAAATTATAGATGTGTTCAGATTTTTTTGTGATCTTAAAAGAAAACAGTAGTTCAAATAGCCAAACTAAACCAAACCAAACCAAAGCAGTGTGGCTACAAAATACTTAAATGTTAGCAAGCCACACCCAACAAGTATAGAATACACATTCTTTTCAAAAACACATGGAACATTTATAAAAACTAACCATATGTTGGACCATTAAACAGGAAATAATCACAGAATAGCATCAATGTTGCCAGAAGTTAGTTCTTCTAAAAGACCAATAAAACTGGTAGATTGCTGACAGACTGACTGAGAAAAAAAGGTGCACATACACAAAAAAAAACCCATGTCAGAAATTAAAATGGGGATAGCCCTAATATTCTACCAGAATGAAAAAAGCTGAATAGTCCTTTAACTTTTAAATTAATTTAAAAAACCCCAAAACACTACAAATACTACTTCAGGCTCATGTATCTTTACCAGTACCCAACATATAATGAAGGGGGAAAAAAAGCGTAACTTACACACTCTTCTATAAAACAGAAAGAGGAAATACTCTCCAATTTGTTTATTTGATCAGCATAATCTTTATACCAAAGCCAGATAAGGAAATTATGAGATAGAAACATTCAGGCCAATCTATGTCATGAACACAGAAAGCAAAAACCCTGGACGAAGTCTTACACAGTGAATCCTACAAGCAAGGAAGTTACCAAACACTATCAGGGCCCCTAGAAAGGACCAGGAGCCAACCTGAAAGAGCTCCTACTGGTCAAAGACGAACAATTTGATCATTATACAAAACAATAACTGCAATGGACTGAAACACAGTGACAGAACGGGAAAGAAGAGAGGG